GACACAGCTACACACAGACACAGTTACACGCAGACACAGTTACACACACAGCTACACAGACACAGTTACACACAGACACAGCTACACAGACACAGCTACACAGACACAGCTACACAGATACAGCTACACAGACACAGCTACACACAGACACAGATACACAGATACAGCTACACACAGACACAGCTACACAGACACAGCTACACACAGACACAGCTACACACAGACACAGCTACACAGATACAGCTACACAAACACAGCTACACACAGACACAGCTACACACAGACACAGCTACACACAGACACAGCTACACAGACACAGCTACACACAGACACAGCTACACACAGACACAGCTACACACAGACACAGCTACAAAGACACAGCTACACAGACACAGCTACACAGACACAGCTACACAGATACAGCTACACACAGACACAGCTACACAGACACAGCTACACACAGACACAGCTACACAGACACAGCTACACAGACACAGCTACACACAGACACAGCTACACACAGACACAGCTACACAGACACAGTTACACACAGACACAGCCACACACAGACACAGTTACACATACACAGCTACACAGACACAGCTACACAGACACAGCTACACAGACACAGCTACACACAGACACAGCTACACAGGCACAGTTACACACAGACACAGCTACACAGACACAGCTACACACAGACACAGCTACTAAGACACAGCTACACAGACACAGCTACACACAGACACAGCCACACACAGACACAGCTACACAGACACAGCTACACACAGACACAGCTACACACAGACACAGCTACACAGACACAGTTACACACAGACACAGCTACACACAGACACAGCTACACACAGACACAGTTACACAGACACAGCTACACAGACACAGCTACACACACAGCTACACAGACACAGCTACACAGACACAGTTACACACAGACACAGCTACACACAGACACAGTTACACACACAGCTACACAGACACAGCTACACAGACACAGCTACACACAGACACAGTTACACACAGACACAGCCACGCACAGACACAGTTACACAGACACAGCTACACAGACACAGCTACACAGAAACAGCTACACATACACAGCTACACAGAGACACAGTTACACACAGACACAGCCACACACAGACACATTTACACAGACACAGCTACACAGACACAGCTACACACAGACACAGCTACACACAGACACAGCTACACACAGACAGTTACACACAGACACAGCTACACAGACACAGCTACACAGACACAGCTACACACAGACACAGCTACACAGACACAGCCACACACAGACACAGCTACATAGACACAGCTACACAGACACAGCTACACAGACACAGTTACACACAGACACAGTTACACACAGACACAGCTACACACAGACACAGCTACACACTGACACAGCTACACACAGACACAGCTACACAGACACAGCTACACACAGACACAGCTACACAGACACAGCTACACAGACACAGTTACACACAGACACAGCTACACAGACACAGCTACACAGACACAGCTACACAGACACAGCTACACACAGACACAGTTACACACAGACACAGCTACACAGACACAGCTACACAGACACAGTTACACACAGACACAGCCACACACAGACACAGCTACACAGACACAGCTACACAGACCCAGCTACACACAGACACAGCTACACACAGACACAGCTACACAGCTACACAGACACAGTTACACAGAGACACAGCCACACAGACACAGCTACACAGACACAGCTACACAGACACAGCCACACACAGACACAGCTACACAGACACAGCTACACAGACACAGCTACACAGACACAGCTACACAGACACAGCTACACAGACACAGTTACACACAGTTACACACAGACACAGCTACACACAGAAACAGCTACACAGACACAGCTACACACAGACACAGCCACACACAGAAACAGCCACACATAGACACAGCTACACACAGACACAGCTACACAGACACAGCTACACAGACACAGCTACACATACACAGTTACACACAGACACAGCCACACACAGACACAGCTACACAGACACAGCTACACACAGACACAGACACACACAGACACAGCCACACATAGACACAGCTACACACAGACACAGCTACACTCATACAAAGACAAGGACCCCCCCCCCCCCCCCCCCCCCCGTGTCGCCGACATAGACTATTGGGGCAAATGCTGTTCGCGAGCGCCGATAACGGTCGGCATGGTGTAAATTGTTGTTGGGCCGAGGACCCACGCCCGGCCACCTTTGTCTCCCCAGTGTTAATCGTGTACGCATCACACCAGCGACTCATTTAATGCTGAGCCGACCTATGAGAAGCCATGAACAATGACCGGTTCAGATATTCGTCATTCGCCATTGATGTTGGAAAGGTGTTCGCAGCGCAGAGTGCTAACCACCACGCCACCGATCTCCAAACGCACATACATAGGTACACTGACACACGTACATACATACGGTTGCTGAACGAATACATTATGAGTTCGCACTCATTACACACAAGCCTCAAATGAACCACAATACCTTGCGGATCGCGTCAAGGGGCTTGAACAATCACGCGAACTCCGATCATCTTCGCTGTAGCAGCTTTTGGCTCAGCCATCGAACAAATATGGTCATTGCATCGCGCGCTTTCAGATGCGCTTCTTCGGCCGTCTGGAACGCTCTTCTTTCAGATATTAGGAAGACACTCGAGATATGCATTTTTAAATCTCATTTCTTTATAACTGCTTTCTGTGTTTAGTTTGTTGTCCTTCCTCCGCACCTCAGATTAGCACGGTTGGCACCGTACGGTGCGAAATAATTTCAACACGCACACAACACACAGCCAGACGTATGCAAGACGACTTACATTGACATGACAAAGACAAAGATCCCCCGTATAGCCTGAACATACTGTTGGGGCAAGTGCTGTTAGCGAGCACCTACGAAAGCACGCACGGCACACGAGAGGGTGGATGGCCAACACCACACCCGACCATCTTTGTCTCTCCAGTGGCGATGTTTACACACAGCACCAGGTACTCATTTCAGGCTGAGTCGATCTCGGGGAAACCCATTATCGGTTTAGATAACCGTTGCTGGTGTTGGCCATCAGCGGGAATTGAACTTGGGTCCCCAGGTTCGTAGCACAGCGCGCGAACCGCTCCACTACCGCTCCCTATACAAAGACAAAGATCCCCCGTATAGCCTAAACAGACTGTTGGGGCAAGTGCTGTTAGCGAGTAGCACCAATGAGGGCCGGCACAGCATACGAGGGGATTGTTGACCAGCACCATTCCCGGCCGCCTTTGTCTACCTAGTGGCGATGTTTACCGCACACCGCCACCAGGTACTCAAATAAGGCTGAGTCGACCACACATGTACAGAAACACACATGTATTGTGTGTTCATGTATTGTTACACACAAAGACATTAACACACACACGCGCGGATGCGCGTTCACACCTGTAGTGTTCACCCCTGTAGTGTTCGCACCTGTCACACCTGTAGTGTTCACCCCTGTAGTGTTCGCACCTGTCACACCTGTAGTGTTCACACCTGTAGTGTCCACACCTGTAGTGTTCACACTTGTCACACCTGTAGAGTTCACACCTGTAGTGTTGACACCTACCACACCTGTAGTGTTCACACCTGTCACACCTGTAGTGTCCACACCTGTCACACCTGTAGTGTTCACACCTGTCACACCTGTAGTGTTCACACCTGTAGTGTTGACACCTGTAGTGTTCACACCTGTCACACCTGTAGTGGTCACACCTGTAGTGTGCACACATGTGGTGTTCACACCTGTAGTGGTCACACCTGTAGTGTTGACACCTGTCACACCTGTAGAGTTCACACCTGTAGTGTTCACACCTGTAGTGTTGACACCTGTCACACCTGTAGAGTTCACACCTGTAGTGTCCACACCTGTCACACCTGTAGTGTTCACACCTGTGACACCTGTAGTGTGCACACCTGTAGTGTTCACACCTGTGACACCTGTAGTGTTCACACCTGTAGTGGTCACACCTGTCACACCTGCAGTGTTCAGACGAACTGACCCGCGCGTTGACTCCGCGTCATCCCTTCCTTCTCGTCCGTTTATTACTTACAATATATACTGCCAGTAATAGTATATACTGCCAGTAATAGTATATATTGTAAGTAATAGTATATATACTGTCTATTATTACATACTGTCTTTGTCCTCGGAAGGGGAGCTGCCGTCATTTGCCGTCTAAAATAAGATGTTTTTACACCCCAGGTCTCCATATTTCGCACGTGTCCACATCTTACCCTACCCCTCCGCGTATTGCATTAGTGACAGCATATAGAACCGTTGTTATTATTACAGTATACATATATACTGTCTTCGCAGTCAGAGCGCACGGTCAGATCCGGAATGCTCCCTCACATCTAACCCTCCCGGTATTATGCATCACCAACATCATCACAACCATCGCCAACCACCACCATCACCACCATCATAAACACAATCTCCACCATCGTCACCACCACCACCAATATCAAAGACGAATAGCCTGTAACAGACTGTTGGGACAAGTGCTGTTAGCGAGAAGCACCTCCAATTAGCACGGTTGGCTATGTACGGTGCGAAAGAAGTTCAACGTACATTTGAAGGCCGGAAGGCACACAAGGGGATGGGTGGCCAACACTGCACCCGACTGCCTTTGTTTCCCCAGTGGCGATGTTTACACACCGCACCAGCGACTCATTTGAGGCTGAGTCGACTTAGCGGAGGTCCAGGACCGGTTCAGATAATCGTTACTGATGCTGGCCGTGAGCGGGAATCAAACTCGGGTCGCCGGGTTCGTTGCGCAGCGTAGCGCTAACCACTACACCACCGCTCCCCATCGCCACCATCACCACCACCATCACCACCACCATCATCATCACCAATGCCGTTGATTATTTTAAAAAAATGTAACTCACCTAGACGATCCGACTCTCAGTGATTAAATATCGATGGATAATTCCTTCCCAGTGTCAGTCACATTGCGCGCACAGCAGTCCACCTCCCCACGGCCGCCTTTGTATCCCCCGCGCCCCCACCTCCCCGGCAACCCCCTCCACCGTGGTGTCCGCTGGCGATGTTCCTTAGCGGTGCTTCTTCTTCCATTGTTCCCCGCGGCTTTGCTTCCCACGCATGTCACGAACACCCCCCCCCCCCCCCCGGGGGTGAGGTGGGGTGGTGGTGGTAGTGGCTATTTCGCGTAAAATATTTAAGATAATAAAATAAAACAATGAATTTTTTTTAAAATTCAATATCAAAACGTTATTTTTGCCTCCCCGCAATTCAATTTCAACGCTACGCTTCCATTGCGGTTGCAATAGCATACACGTGTCTCCCTGCCGTGTCTCCCTGCGTGTCTCCTGTGTGGTGTGTGGTGTGTTGGCTGTAGCACTGTGTGTATACGCTGTCGTCTCTCTGTGTGCCTGTGTGTCTGTGTGTGTACACACGCACGAACACACGCACGACAATGAGAGATGAGCAGTCGTGCACGACTGTGCCTGGACCGGGTTCTCTCTATGCGAGATCGCGAGTGGTGGTGCATATATATGTGTGCTGTGTGTACGCGTGTGTCTATCTGTGTACACAGTACGCACGCACACGCACCGCAATGATAGAGGAGCAGTCGTGTGCGATTGTCCCTGGACCGTGTTCTCTATGCGAGAGAGCTAGTGGTGGTGTGTGTGTATATATATGGGTGTTGTGTGTACGTGCGTTTGTGTATATGGTGGGTAGGGGTGATGCACGGAGCTTAATTTCTTATGGAATATTTTGAGGCTCCCCCTCCCTCTAGTTGCATATAGCAGAGGGGGGGGGGGGCTGGGGTGGTAGCTATGGGGGGAGGGAGATTTTCCTGAGATCAGCCCTGGACAGCTCCGGTTGAAATTATACACAAGGTGTGTGTTTTGTGTGTGTGCGTGCATGTGTGGGAAGCTGCGAACGAGGCCACCCGAGTTAGATTCCCTGCTCACGGTCAACACCAGTGACGATTATCTGGTCCTGCGTCTCTCCTAGGTCGACTCAGCCTCAAATGAGTTCCTGCTTCGATGTGCAAACATCGCCACTCGGGAGGCAAAGGCGGCCGGTGTGGTGTTGGTCACCCATCTCCTCATGTGCCGTGCTGGCTAACAGTCGGTTGAGTCGACCCGGGAGATCGTTGTCTTTGTCTCGAGAGTGCGTGTCTGTGTGGGTCACGTTGGGGCAATGGCTAGCGCTCTGCGCTACAAACTCGGCCGCTTCACTTCGATTCCTTGCTACGGCTAACATCAGTGACGATTGATATCTGAATCGGTGCATCGGCTGCCAAGTAAATCTCACTCAGCAGGGGACTAACAACCTAACAACATGACCACCACACTCACCTAAACTTTCACCTATACACTCACCTATACATTCACCACCACACTTGTCTCTACATTCACCACCACACTCACCGCCACGCTCACCTAGGTGAATCTGTGGGTCTGTGTGTGGATCGATGGGTTATATTATATATCATCAATTGTGAACATGCTGCACGAGCCCGATGTTGGAAAAACTTGCTGGTCAGCTGACTATGCTCGCACAATGAGAGAATCAAACATGTCCTTCCTTACTCGTTACGCATTTAAACTAAAATCGACAAATCTAAAATATACAGCCATATTTTGAAACCACCTTCATTGCTCATACATTACATTAATCAGCATCATAGCAGCCATGGTCAATCCACTGCTGGATGAAAGTCTCCCAATGCCTCCGCCAACCACCATCATCATAGCAGCCATGGTCAATCCACTGCTGGATGAAAGCCTCCCAATGCCTCCGCCAACCACCATCATCATAGCAGCCATGGTCAATCCACTGCTGGATGTAACGATCCACCCGGCACTTGCTCCGCTATACTCGATGAAACGATTCCACCATCGCTCCATCTCCTAGGATGACGTCCTCTCAGCCCTCTTTGTATGTCGTAGTGGCGTTAAGAACAATGATAATGTTCCTGATTTGTAATGGCAATTGGCTTCTGCGTGGCGGACGCGAGAGGGCGCTACATCCGCGCGAATACCACGAGTGGGAGACGCAAAGTGCAAACTAAAACAAAGATCCTCCCTATACTAGATTTAAAGCTTTCGTGACTGCTAGGATCCATACTCTTTGGTTCTATTGGGTAAAGTCACGTAGGTAAAAAATACCCAATAGAACCAAAGAGTATGGATCCTAGCAGTCACGAAAGCTTTAAATCTAGAATTGATAACATCTATGGGGAGGGCTTTCACCTATCTGTCAGAGCTCTTAACAGACAACGGGACAAGAAGTCACAGCTCATCGAGACGCTGACCTTCCTCAAAAGATGCCGCGATCACAAGCTTAAAGGTCGTGATCTGAGCGTGGCTTTTTCACTCCAGCGCTGTCCTCCAGACAGTCTCGTCCCTTCACCTGATGAAGGCCGCTTGTGTTGTGGCCGAAACGTCGTGATTTTTGTTATTTTATTTTTTACCTACGTGACTTTACCCAATAGAACCAAAGAGTATCCTCCCTATACTTATAACAGACTGTTGGGGGAAGTGCTGTTAGCTCTTAGCATTTATGATGGCCGGTAGGGCTCAGGAGAGGGTGGGTGGCCATCACCGCGCCCACACAGAGACAAAGACACGCATACATTTTTTAAAATATTTATTTTACAAGGTAAGGCCCACTGAGCCATGTAGTTCTTTATCAGAAGCGACCTGGCCACAAATGATAGCTCAACGAAGTGGCTTATCACGTGGACATGTATAGAATCAGTAAAATACTCTAAACACGTGATGTTGATTATAATTAAAGGTGGAGGGAAAACCCGGAGAAAAATCCACGCGACCACGAGGAGAGAGAGAAGCAAACTGCAAATATACAAAATGCGTCAGGGTTGGGATCGAAACCACGACCTTCTGTATACCAGGCAAGGTAATTAACATCTCGCTAATGTTGCGCAACTAAGACGTGGCGCTCTATTGCTGGGAGTCAACGATCCTCTTCCTATAGCCTTAACATACTGCTGGTGTAAGTTCTGTTAGCCAGCACCTATGATGGCCGGAACTGCACACGATGAGGTGGATGACCAGCACCACGCCCGGTCGCCTTTGTTTCCCTTGTGTGCGAAGTTTTTACACATTGCCACCAAGTACTCATTTGATGCTGGGTTGACCTATGGGAGGCCAGCACCGATATAGATAATCGTCACTGGTGGCCGTGAGCAGGAATCCAACTCGGGGTCATCGGGTTCGTAATAATAGCGTACTAACTGCTACGCCACTGCTCCCCACAATAGCTATACGCACTCACTCACCCTCCCGGAGAGTCCATATACTATACGTATGTGTGTGTGTATGTGTCTATATACACATGGGGAGCGGGAGTGTAACGGTTAGTGCGCTGCGCTACGAACCCGGCGACCCGAATTCGTTTCCCGCTCATGGCCACCCACACCAGTGAGGATTATCTGAACCGGTCATGGGCCTCCAATAGGTTGTGTGTAAACATCACCACCCGGGAAGACAAAGGCGGCCGGGCGTGGTGCTGGCCACCCATACCGGTTCGTGTGCCGTGCCGTCTTCATAGGTGCTATTCGCTAACAACACTTTCCCCAACAGTCTGTTAATAGCCTATACGGGATGTTTGTCTTTTGTGCCTATATACATACGGATGATATAATGAGTGTTTGCTGAGACAGCGTACGGGACTTGAATTCTCGATTTGCATTCTGCTTCGTGGCTGTGGGCACGTTCAGTGGCTTTAGCGACATCGCCTCGGGCAGAATGCTGCAGCAGCGCAGAATAATATTATAAATATTATTAATCATTAATATTATGATTAATCATGAATTATAGCAGTTATGAATAATGTTGATAATCTCAGCTCGTAGCGCAACGCTACACAGATTTATCTCACCCCGAGTGAGAGACAGACAGAGGACGACTGAGAGAGAGAGAGCGACTCAGAGAGAGGGTGACTCAGAGAGAGAGAGAGGGAGAAGACGACTCAGAGAGAGAGAACGACTCAGATTGATCGAGAGGACGACTCAGAGAGAGAGAGAGGGCGACTCAGAGAAAATGAGAGAGGAGGAGATGACTCGGAGACTTTTAAACAACTTTATTTCCGCCAGCAGCAACAGCACTGGAGGCGATTCTGATACGAAATACAGTCACCAGCAAACAAATAACAAACGCTATAAATCCACGCGCTGTGGCGCTAAATGCGACACGCACAACACAAAATAAAAGTCACGTGGTGGTGGTCATCGCGTGAGCCATTGCGACGAGCGAGCGCTTCAGAATGTGAACATGAGGGTGCTGTCCACGCTGGTATCGAGGGTTTTTCCGGCCCCCCAGCGTTTGAAGAAGACGCGCACATCACCGACATGTGTGTGGTATGCGTGTTCCAGCCAGAGCCGCGCCTTAAGCAGGCCTCTGAACACTGGAAGCACAGAGCAGCCGTCAGTGTCACCTTCCAGCATCTTTTTCCTCGTTCTGTACACCGCCATCTTCGCCTGAGCACAGGCGAAGTTGCCGAGGTCATGGCGCTTGTTAACCAGGTAAGGCACCCCATATACGAATCTACTGTTGTAGAAGGGCACCCCCAGTCTCCTGAAGATGTCTCCCAAAAGGCGGAACATTGGTTTGAGGTGCTGGCAGCATAAGTATTGGTGGGGCAGATCCTCCCTGGCACCGCAGGAAATGCCCAAGTCTGGTACCCCCGGCGAGGTTCGGCTGAGCCACACGGCCGATGGCAACGTGCAGTGTGCCAACCTCCACTGGAGGTCACCGCAGCATTTGGCTATGGGAGACTTGTACATTTGTTTCCACTGGGGGGCGGCCGCAATGAGGGGGGAGAAATGGTCTCTCCATATTGTGTCCGGTAGGTCGGCCAGGTCCCGGGAATGCAGCGCCTTGACACAGCACGTGTAGAGCGCTTTGTTCGGGGTGCTCTTCAGGGGCACATTCCTGCAGCCTCGGAACTTCAGGAGCTTGCCAGAGTCACTGTGGCCAGGGGGCTGTGCGCAGGAGAAGCACAACTCCGGGAAGGAGGAGGGGGGAGGGCCGCCACCATCCCCCGGCGCCTCCAGCTTCAGGCGCAGCTCCTTCATGGCATGGAACACGTCCCACAACAGCTTCTCCCCAGCGAGCACGGAGCAGAGTCCCCTAGCGGTGCTGGCAATCTCAGCTGCCGTCTTCCACTTGCGCTGGTGGGCGTGCACGAGGTGGAAGACTGTCCGCAGCCCTGCTGATGTGAGGCGTAGGGCCAGGGTCCTCTCTCCTCTAATCCTTTGTAAGGGGCCGTTGCAGAATAAGGGCTCGTTCAGGAACTGCGCGGGGTCATAGGGCGCGCGTGTTCTGCTCCACTCGAAGCTCCGCCACGCGTCCAAGAGGCTCTGGTGATAACCTGGCAGCCTCGTGTAGTCGACCAGGCTCAGGTCCATCAGGAAGAGCTCCTTTCTGTACCCCAGGGACCCCCCTGCATTCCCCAGCAGGACGAAGGCCGGCGACTTCCAGGGTAGCTCCTCCCGGTCGTACAGCAGCCGCCTGACGGCCATGAGCCTGAAACTCGTTACCCTGGCGGCGACGTCCACCAGACCCTGGCCACCCTCGCCCACCAGCAGGCAGAGAACGCCCGGCCTGAGCCGGTGCTTTCCATGCCAGACGAAGTGCGCGAGTGAGTGGTTGACTCTGGTGAGTAGCCAAGCAGGAGGCTGGAGGGCCTTGGTCTTGGGCCACAGCACGGATGCTGCCAGGGCATTAGCGCCAACCTATCCGACCT